GGGGGGGGGCCAGCCCCCCCCCCGCCGATAAAAACATCCCAAGTCCCGGTTCACCCTGAGATAGAATAGATTTATTAGCAAGAGGTAATCAGGAAACATATATTTTTACAAAAAAATGGAAATATTTTTCCAAACAAGCTGTAAGTTGAAATAGTTTTAGGGCTTGAAAGAGAATTCTCATACCACGAGGTATTGCTTACAGCAAAAGTGTTCTGGTTGTTAGAGTGGAGCATGCCTGCCACCGTAAAGTTAAACTGTGTTTATATACTGTACAATGTAAAAAATACATGGTAATATTCACAGAATAAGCACTACATTACTATATTCCTGCTAGAAGGTGGTTAGACAGGATTACAGTATATGTAATAAAAACACTCGGTCATCTTTTTCTAATTCTACATCATGTTACTCATAGTGGTCACAAGGTATACGGATCTATAGCATATCAACAGAAGCTTGTCATGAGCCGTATGCAGCGAGGAGAGTCAAAGGGACGTTTCCATCTTCCCGACTTAGGAGGGACCAGGGGCAGCGGCCGAGAGGCCCCCCTGGTGCCGGGCCAGCGCGGAGGGGGTGGCACACAGAGACAGGGCAGCTTTGCGCGGAGAGATAAACTTTTAACGTGTTCTCTTCCCCTGCCTTACAGAGTTTGCCACAGGATGTTACTGCTAATACTGTCTGAGCGAGAGCTGCTCCGTGCTGCCCGAGAGCCCTGTGGGAACGCACGGGTTCACCCGCCCGACCGCCAGCCCCCTCGAGAAGAACCAGTGACAAAAGTAACATCATCGAAAAGAAATGGGGACTCCAGCAAAGTGTCGAGGCGTGAAACCTTAAACGACGCGGGAAATCCTACGCGAGGTCTACTGCGGCCAAAGAACGAGGGGGGCGGTTTGCTTGGAGAAGCACATACGTGGAAGTCACTCCAGGGCGTCCAACAGAAACAAACAGATATATACAGTATGGTATAGCGTGAGTACACGAGCAGCTGCCGGCCACTGCTCCGGGCTCAAGAAGGCAGTTTGGGCTCTATTCGCAGAGAAGCTTCATAAAGGGTTTCTTCATCCATCACAAATGACTGGTCCAGCAGGTACTGCGTCACCTGGAAAAATGAGAGCCAAACGGTTAATGGATAGGACTCACCTCTGCTGCAGCCGATGATAAATGCTGAAATTGGGAAATGATAAAGGCCTAAGCCTATCTCTGAGTCGCAGAGAAGTGCCTGCAGTTCCTGCCAACCAACACAGGCACTGCACGTGCTTATTTCATCCCAGGATTGCAAAGTCTTGCCTAGTCCTCAGCTGCTCTTCTGCTTTTCTTGCTTAGTTTTCCTCTCTGGCTCAATTTTATCAGGCACAAAGTTCTCTCCTGCTGAGAACACAAAATCCTGATAATTAAGGCACCATGTAAGTGGGGAACAACATTCTTGCTTCAGGAATGCTGCTGACAGGACAGGACATCTGCTCCAGTACTAGCAGAAAATCCACTCACAATTCCTGGCAGATTTTTCCCAAATTACTTTTTGGCCTTGTTAGTAGCACAGCGTGCGCACCTGATGCCAAAGAGGGGCACAGCCCATGCCGGGGCAAGGCACCGCACCTGGGGTTCAGAGCCAGCCAGCATAAGAAGCAGCCGGCAACAGAGCCTCTGCCTGGGAAGTGCTGGCAGTGCAGACAGGGCTTCATCCCATCACCCACAAGAGCATCCAGAACCTTCTGTAGAGCTGTATCCCACCTCTGCAGGGAGACAGGGCGATGTGCAGCCACGCACAGCACCACCTGCACTACCCTTCCCTGCTGCACTTGGTGCTGGCTGTTTTCAGCCAGGTTTCTCAGGGCAGTGGGCTGCTTTCACAGATGCTGGTCTTCTTCCTGAGCAGCAGAGGCTGGGAGAAGGCAGGGGTTACCTGGGGTGCCCAGATGGGAAAAGGCAGCGGCGTGAGCCCAGTCTCGGGCAGGTACCGACAGTGCAGAGGGCAGGGCTGGGGCTGCCCAGCACTGCAGAGGCTAAAATCAGAGCCCGCAGCTCCCCGACCTCTGCCAGCCCAGCCAGGGGTTGTGGTCCAGAGTGACTTGGGCTGCTCCTGCCACCACACATGGAAACTGGCATCACTGGAGGGCGGTTTGGCCCAGCCTGATGACCAACAACATGGCGCGGCAGTCAGGGCACCGGGCAGGTTTGGCAGATGCCTGTGGGGCAGCAGCAGTGTTTCAGGAGGGTTTGATGTTTCTGGAGAACAGCAGTGCCAGAGACAGCGGAAACCCCAACGCCAACCAGCCCAGTTCCTGGGTGGCTCTGCGGTGCCGCGGCAGAGGAAGCGCGAGGGTGGCTGAGACCTTTCATCTCATCACACATCTGGGGGCCACCACGAGGCGGAGGCCACCCAGCACCAGGATGTGTGTGGGGGGGGTGGGACATGTTTTACTCCCAGCCTGGGGTGGGGAGTGCTGCCCCAGAATAGCTATTTCTCAGCATCTCCAGGGTGGGCTCTGCTGGTGCCGGGATAATTCACCTGCACACGGAAGGCCCGGAGGGACACAGAGTCTGGCCCTACTCTGTGCAAAGTCTGCTGCAGGGAAAGGGAGGCACTGAGGGAGGGCAGCCTCTGCACTGTGTCCCAGCTGTGCTGGCAAGGAGCATGCATGCACTTTATAATCACACAGAGCAGCCCCAGGAGCACTCTGGCCATTCGCCACACTGCCTGCCCTGCCTGACGGCTGTTGCATCCGGGCGTAGCTGCCGTCTACAGCAGTGCCTCCGCTGCAGCATCCTGGGGGAGGCGTGGGGGAGCCTGCTGCAGCCGCCCTCCGTCCCCTGCGCTGCTGCCAACAGCCTGCAGCAAGGCACAGACACTGCTCCCAGCATGGAGGCATCAGCCATGCTCCTGCTGTAGCAGATGGGCAGCAAAGGGCAAGGGAGTGCGGGGCGTGAGGCCAGCGGTCACAGGAGCCACCGACACTTGTTACTCATTCCCATGGAAGGGCCCTATGGATGAGGAAAGGTACAGCTTCTCATTCCCCCACCAGGTAAAACACAATCTCTGGCTGAGTTCCAAGTCCTGGAGCTGCTCTCCCGTGGCACAGGGATCTCTGCAGCAAGACCCACGCCCACGCTTTCGCAGCGCACGGGTCTCTGCCTCGGACGACGTTTGCCCGAAAGTGGCTCACAGTGGAGGACAGCTCCATCCCCAGCGCCCACCCACTCCCCGGGAGCCCTTCCAGGCTGCTCTCTTGCCACACTGTCCGACCATAGCCACGCTCCAGCCCCAACTGGGCAAGACCGTGCTGGGCTGCTGACCCTTGTGCCCACAATGACGGTGGCTTGCAGGAAGAACCAGAGTGAAAGGGCAGTCCTGACTGCTGGGAAGAAATGGCAGCAAAGCTAGGGACAGGCAGGGACAGCGCTGACTCGTTCTGGCCAAGGCTCGGATGGCAGAAGCCGCATCCTTTTGCTCTGCCAGCAACAATGCGTAGGTGATGAGCTCTTCACGGTTTGCGTGGCAGGGCACAAGCGTGCCAAGAGGAGCAGGGAGGTCGCTACGTATCTCCTGTGCTTGTCCCCCTCCGTTATGCCTCACCTGACACAAGCCCCCGCACCTGCACTAGTTCTGCTAGCATTTTCTGTCTTAAATTTCTTACAGAAGCATCGTATCTTCCCCAAAGGAGCTGCCAGATATTGAAGGCTTAGACACTGTGATTCGAGAGGGAGAGGAGGAGGAGAGGGAGCACGTGGCTCTCAGGACAAGGCTGTACCTTAGGCTGGTGCTCAATCTTGTAGGAGGTTTGCTGGAACTGGCGGATCTCTCTTATGATGTGTGAAATCTGTCCGGAGATAAAACACAGAAGCCGTTTACAGCACAGCCATCACCACCGGCACTGCGTCCCACCACCTGGGAGGGTGACAGGCAGCTGGTGGAGTGCACTCTGTCTGCACCTTTCAACCACAGCATGATGCAAAGGGGTTTTTTGTTGCTTCCAGACACATCCCTCACCAGGGACAACCCTGGCTGCATGCACGCATGCAGGGGGACATGTGTGGCCATCTGGTGCTGAGCAGGTGACGGCCGGCTGTGAGGACTGCACAGGGTGGGCACAGACCTGGCCAGCACTGCGGCACCGAGCCACATCACTCCAACCTGTCCCCCACGCACCCACTGCAGTGGGTCTGGGACACTCACCATCCTCATTTTGGAGAAGTTCACCAGGCCATCCTCGGTGTAATTCGGTGTCCCCTCCTCAATGAACGCCAGGTCGGTCAGATACATTCCCAGGTAGGGGACGCATGGAGGGTCGCAACTTCAGAAGCAAACCAGAAACAAATAAGAAAAGAAAACTGCCTTACTCTGGGGCTTTGGAGTGGGGAAGAGGGTCAGACTTCACAGTTAGCAGAATTTGAAGGATTCTCTCCCCAGGAAAGCTGCTGGTCTCCTGGGCCACATCCTGCAGCCGCCATCCCCATGGGCAGAGCAGGACAAGCATGAGCTGCGGCCATGCCCCGCACGAAGCTGCAGGCTGCAGGAGGTGAGTCAGGGGCAGCTTCAGCAGAGGGTTGGAAAGACCTTTTGGAGCTTTCCCTGCTGGCCTCAGCCCCCACAGCCAGCGAAACCCCTGCCGAGAGCCGAGGGCAGTGCAGGCGCTGAGCTTGCTCCCCGCCCTTCACACCGCACCCCAGCCCAGTCCCCCAAGGAGGATTGCTGTGCGCTGCTGATGGGACACAGCCCGTGGGTGTCTGCCATGCACAAGCCCATGGGGATGCACCAGCTCCAGGGCAGCTCAGCACCCCGCTCCCCACACACCCACAGCACCGCGCTCCTCGACTTGCGGGACCAAGCGAACACCAAGTAATGAGGATTTGGGGAACCTGAGTGCTGGCAGAGAAGCCCGATGTCGTCTCTGGTTGGGTGTGGGGCTGGCTGCTATTGCAGCACTGCCAGCTCTCTGCT